ATATCTTGAATGAGTAAATTATCAGTGACTTGATGCTTTGGACAGGCTTCTCAGATATGCTTTTACGTTTAAAAGATGAGATTTCTTCCTTCAACAATATCTGACTCTGTCAGAGAGTACTCAGATTTGTAATATGAATTGGAGCATGCCTCAATGACAGTCATTGCTTTTGGGTAGCTTTTCTCTTTTATCCCAGAATTTACTTACAAATTCTTGCTTCTATTTTCCCCAAACAGAATTATGAGGGTAACAAAAGTTGCAAAAGCAACATTTCTTGCCAATTTTTGTAGAGTTTGAAACTGTAACATAATGGTTACTGTAGAAAGAATATTTTTCTGAAGCCTGATGTTCTAGTAGCTTGACAAAAACCAGTCACTGTAGTGTAGTTATAAACTTGAGCGTTCAACCACTCCAGCTTCGTCCTACAACCATTAATGATTGCCTTAAACCATTCTTTTCCCTGGCTATAAAAGAGCCTATTGCTGGAAAAAGTGTTATGTCAATAAAGGTATTGTGAACCTCTCTTGTAAAGATTTGCACAACAAACAGATAGTGACCAACCTTTTACAGCTCTTGTACTGCATGAGCAGTTCACACAGCAGTTGGAATAGATTCATAGAGTCCTGATGCTCTTCACAGCTAGTGAAAGTGTCTTCAGATCTTTAAGGCAGAGTACTAAACATTTTTGGGTTTGCTTTTGTGCATCTTTTCATATTCCATCATCAAGGAAGTAAACAACCTATGCGTCAGTGAGACTTCTAGTTCAAAGGGACTGCATGCCTCCTACTGTTTTATGCATTTAGTCTTACAGCGTTCCTGTTGAGACAAATCCAGAGTCATGAGCTGAGCATTTCAAAGTCTATGATAGAGAGGTGGGGTCGAGCCAAAATAGCACCTAACTATTAGGCTTTAATTTTTCTTTTTTTTCTCTCATACAATAAATATGTGAGAATAAGGATTATGTACTGCTGATGGACCAAAATCTGCTTTAACTTACTCAGTTTAAATCTGGAATAACATCACTGCTTTCAGTAGAATTACTCCAGAGAAACCCCGTTCCAAAGCCCATTGTGTCCCCAAGGTTGTCCCAGATCCTGTCTCCCAATCATGCAGACCAAGAAATAGGTCCTGTTCCTATCTGACCATGCATTAGGTTTCTGTGGAGGAGAAAGTTGGCATCAATATAGTCAAGATTTGGCCAAGACACACAGTCAGACCTAGGAAGTCAGGAGTGCTTCAACATCTCCCAGGTTACGTATAGAAAGAACGGGGACCTGTAGGTCATAAATCTGTATTTACTTAGCTGAATAAATAGCTTAATTGTTGTATCTTAAAATCAGAGCAACCAAGGCTTTCAAAGCCCCTTTGAAATTGAGCAGGTTTATTTTACAGGAGGGGAGTAAGTTGGCTTTAGGTACTGAGCTCAGGCATATAGTGTTAACAGTTTGGCCCAGAGACATCACCTTTCTGGGGGGTCAGGGCATGAAAAAATGGTTATTTCTGATAACACTTCTCAAACAGTAAAAAGCAAAGTTACATACATATTAGCTGACAGGCTGCAAAAATTTAACTAAAAACTTGCCATTATTTTTGAATATGAAAACTCAAAAAAATGCCTGAGACTATGAAACCTCTTTGGCACTCAAGAGTTTAAAAAGCAGATGGATTTTTTTCCCAGCTTTTACAAAAAAAATTTTGCTCATGAGCTAAAACTTTCCTACTAGAGCACATTTTTAAGACCAGCTTTTAAAACTGTCAAAATAGAGGTTTATTGTTAATGAAAGCAGTAACAGATCTTTAACTATAGCAATAGTATGGATTCTGACAGAGGTAAGAGTATAACATCCTGAGATGAGTTTTTGTTTGTTTGTTTGCGTTAGGGATAAGTGTAATAATTTGAAGACATGAGAGAAACTTTGCCCTTAATGGTGGGGAGTATTCTCCAATACTGGAGAAATGGTCTGAATTTATTTTCTGTAATATTCTCTTTTCAATAACAATGTCTATTAAAGGCACATGTTGAAAGTCTGTAATGATGTTTAGGGAGAAAAAATAACTTAAGGTCTTTAGCAGTCCTGTCTTCAGTTTAACCTTATGGACTCTTAAGAGAGGGTTTGTGTGTGCAACATTATTAACTGAAAATCTGCTCACATTGAAATCAGGCCCACAAACTTTACTTTCTCTCAGTACCTGCTAAGTTTTTAAAGCAATTATTGAAAAGTGTTGAAGCGAATTAGTATATTGTTACATTATTTAAGATTTTTAAAGGGAATCAGGCTAGGCAGAGATATGTTTCTAAACGTCTGTGCTCTTGCTTATAGTATATAACCTCTCCCTAGCAATGTGAAAGTGTAACAAAAAAAGTACCAATTTCCTATATTAAGTAATTACGGTCACTGCAGAGAGAAAGATAATCCACCTCCAAAATGATTTAATTATAAATTGTAATAAAACACCCGATATTTTCTACTGGCTTTGTCAGGGCTGAAAGGTATGTTTTTAGCGATGAGAGAGATGGAGGGCAATGGGAGGTGGGACAGAAGCCCCAAGTCCGTGGTCTGGAAGGAAGCCTATACAGAAATTAAATATTGAGTTTAAATTAATCGCCTTGTTCTCTAGCTGTATTTGTTGCAATTTAATTTTAACGCTTAAATTATAAAGATTAAAATAAAGTAATAAAACACGTTGTATTTTTATCACTTGAATTTGGAGAGGCCTCGTGTTTTCCATGCCCGTGGCCTTGATGATTCTTTTGGCAGCCCTGCCAGTGATAAAAGGAATAACTCACCTCTGTCAGGGAATTTGGCTGTTTCATCACCGACATGAGAGGCCAGCACAACTCCATGGTGATTGCTGTCTAAATGACTTATGTAGTTTCTTCATATACTTTTTGATTGAAGAGTGATAACTCAGGCAATGAGTTATTTGGCATCAGCCTCTGAGACAATCTGTTTTCCTTTTATAAATCCTATGGCACCTTTCAGCCACCAATTTTTAAATAAGACTGCAGTGGATTAGGTTCTAATGTGCCTGGTAGATTTAGCCAAAGGACAGTAAAATTAGATTTTGCTGTCATTCTTTTGCTTTGTTGTTTTGCTTTGCTTTTTGTAGATAAATGACAGTTTTAGAAGTAGTATTGAGAAAAATGAGATGCAGGCTAAAAGAGTATCTTTATTTACCACATAGTGGGGGTGCAACAGGGCAATTCCCTCATGGTAGTAGTGGCATTGCCTTTCTTTCCTCGTAAGCAGAATATGTTTACCCAGAGTGGAAAAATAACACTAACACCGCCCTAACTGGTATTAGGCTTGGATGTAGAAGATACATTCAAGAGGAAGGAAAAGAGTAATTAAAAATGTGTACAGCTGAATGTAAATCACAGCTCAGAGTATCTTTATTACAGATTTAAATGTAGAGTACTGCTGATGCAAGATAGAAAGTTGTTGTACGTTAAATTTAGTGTTCAACATGTTTTAGGCTGTGAATGTGACTGGATTTCATGTAAGGTTTTGCCACTGATTTAGGTGGAAACAGAAGCAGTTTCCTTGCTGAGTAACAAAGATGGTTCCCTTTGCTAGAGTTTGATTTGCGGGATTTCCAGCATAACGTGATGACTGTGGAGAGCAAAGTATAATCTGAGAAGCTGCAGGGGTGATGGCTCTTTTAGACACCTGCTTTGTTAATGCCTGCTATACACATGCTGCTTGCTTTTACTGAAGTAATCCAGTTAAATCCTATATCTTATAGAAAGGGCTGCAGTTAATATTTATATTAAAGCAATCAACCTCCTGTGCTTCTCTCTTTTTCTTCACTTTGGCTCTTCATTCTAGAAAGAGTACTGAGTGACAAGTATAAGTAAGTTTTACAGTATTTATATTACAGTAATGGCACAGGGCTCCAGTCAGGATCCATATACCTTTGTGATAGACGCTGTGCAAACATATATAAAGACATGGTTTCTCCTTGAAAGTGTGTGCAATGTAAGAAGCATCTTCAACAGGCATGTGTCTTTATTTGGGTCACAAGAGAGAAAAGATACCATCTTTTTCAGTTCTGTTTACAAGTTGAAATGACGGTGCATCATTATATGGTTACTTTCAAAAGATTCTTGACCTATGCCAAGTTTAGAATTTGTCAGAGGAAAAAAAAAAAGAAATGAAATTATGTAGAAGCTGAAAAAGGTAATGACAGAGCAGATAAATGTACAGCCTGAGATAAAGGCTATCTGCTGTCCTTACTGAAGAAGTTCAGTTCATTTCAGCTGGCCTCAGTTCATGAGAGGCTCAGGTTTGGATCTAACAGTAGCCACCAAATGCAAGTGAGAAAAGAATTATGACAGATGAGGGGTTGCCATTCTTTACTTTTCTCTCACTCTCATTTTTATCCTTTTCCATTGATTTCTCTGTTTCTTTTCCTCTTCCATGTGTATTTATAGTATGTGTATTATAATGTACTCACACTTCCTTACGGTTCAGGAACTGCTGCTTCATGGAGAAGAGGGACTCATGGCACATGGTCTGGAGTCTTTCTCACTGTTCAGAAATAGACAGTTAACTTTGGTTCCAAGCAGCACCCCAGAATTCATGGCAACAGCTGACTGCTGGCCCTCCCAAAATGCAGGGCATGTTTGAGATGCCGAGCTGCCCACTATAGTTAAATGAGCAGTACTGAAAGCGTATCCTGTGAGTAAGAAGACACCATGCATCTTGAGAGGCAGAGTTCAGGAGTGGTCTGTCGGTGCCTGACTGCCACACTCACAGTACTGTTTCAGAGATGCTCCACTGGTGCCATGTTTACCCACTTTGTGCTTACAGTAGTTCCTGCCTTCTGTTCCAGTTTTGGTTCTGTCCATGTGAGGGCTGTAAAAAAGCTCAGCCTTTCCAAGCTGAATTTACTTTCTGTGATTCTGACGTTCAGATTTATTGATGTTGGATTTTTCCACCTGTCTAAAACTCACTTTTATTCCCTAATTCATATTCCCTCTTTCTCCACAGCAAAATCTGCCAATCATGGCAGATTACATGAATGATTCTGTGGAGGCTAAAACAAGATTGCTGAACTCATTTTCATGCATGACTAAACACCGAATTGAACCTCGTGCTCCAGAAGTGAAAGGTTAGTGATTTTAGATAATTTTAAAACGATTGTATAGGAGTTGATACAGCTGCTGTCAGTCTACCCTAATCCAGTTCTTTGTTGAATCTGCCCTTGCGGAGGCCCTGCTTTCTGTCAGTGATTAAGGGGAGACATTGCTTTCCGTGATGCTGATTCAGCAGAGCTAAGAATCAGTAAATTAGCAATGACTGTAAGGGAATTTTAAATATTGGTAGAGTACCAAATTTCTACTATTACTGAGTCTTGGAGAGGAAATTCCAATGAAGTTACTGTACCAGGCAATATGGGAGAGAAGACAGTCCTCTTTCTGATTCACAAGACAGAAAAATGGGGAAACAGTGTATCCAGTTTTTGGGTTCTCAATGTCCCTGTTATAAAATGATATCAAAGGACTGCAAAAGAATAAATAAATCTGTATAGCTAATATACATTCTAATGAACTGTTCACTTAGTAACAAAATGCTGTAAACTCCTAAGGAGTAATTAACTTTGCCAGTTCAGTATCTTTGCTATGTATGGAATGATGCTCTGTCCTTTTCACTCTTGCCTTTTTATCCTTGTCTCTTCTTGTCTTTTTCCTGGCTGCACAAAGTTAGATGCTTTTGTAAATCTAATATTAAACTTGATTAATTTTCATGGATCATATGATGCCCTTCTGCACATAAAGGTACATAATCCATACAGGAACAAAATGCTGTAACACTTATACAGAAGCTGAGGTACAGCATGACATTAAACACCAAAGAAACCCTGTTGTTGCAAGTGGTAATGGGCATAGCTAAACTTGAAGCAAAACAGACAAGATGGAGTTAAAGGGAGCAATTTTTGGATATTTAGGCTTCAGGCGATATAAATCAGGGAACCTGACTTAGTATCAAAGCATAATTAGATAAAACTGTATTTAGCGTGTGAAAGTATAGGAAGATCTGATAGATATGACTTACTGGGTGGTGCACAATTCAACTCTTCCTTCTAAAGGAGAGTAAGGTCTGTGACCCTGCTTTAGCTGATAATTAACAATAGCCAATACCCATCAATTTAAAGAAAAGAGGATCAAGTCTCTGGTGCCATACTAGCTGAGGCAGCATGTTTCCTTTTCTGGAAAGGACATGAGGATCAAAAAAAAAAAAAAACCCAAACCTGTCATGGAAAGATACTACTCTCCTATATTGTACTATTAGCAGGTCTTGACAAGACAAATTGCTTGGCTGGTGAAGCAAGTAACTCTACCCAAAAAATTAAACTATGGTCATTAGTCTATAATAAGAAGGTCACATAAGAGCATACATGCTGGTTGAGACCCAAGGGTCCATCTAGCCTAGTGTTCTGTCTCCCACTGTAGCCATGACGGTGGACACCCAGGAAAGAGTAAAATATATGTGCTTACCCTGAACCTGAGAAAAAACTTCTTCACTGTGAGGGTGACAGAGCATTGGAACAGGTTGCCCAGAGAGGTGGTGGAGTCTCCTTCGCTGGAGATATTCAAAAGCCGTCTGGATGTGATCCTGGGCAATATGCTCTAGGTGACCCTGCTTGAACAGGGAGGTTGGACTAGATGATCTCCAGAGGTCCCTTCCAACCTAAACGATTCTGTGATTCTGTGATTACACTGACCTAGAACTTAAAATGCCACTATGCAAATTACTGTGGAAAAAATAGTGGAGACCCTGGACTGGGGGTCTTTTTAATAAGTTCTGGCTGGGTAACATAGGTTAATAGAAGAAATGGGAGTCAGAAAGCATAAGTGAAGTGGGAAAGGAATTACTCTACGTCTTATAGGACAAAGAAAAGGCCAAAAAAATCTATACACACAGTTTTATATGTCACCTCATGGAAAAGTTAAAATGCTGTATTTTGTGTCCTATTTTGTGGGGTATTATTTATGATTGTGCATTTGTGCAAAGATGGTGCTTTAGTATTTTTGCTCTGTATTGCTAGATTTCTTCAGGATATGTATCGCATAAGTCACAGGAACATCCAGCTTTGTTTCTGTATCACCTTATTGGATCAGGATGCCATGTTGAGCTAAGAAGTACAAACTGAGCTGAAGAAACTGAGCAAATTACCTTAAAATCTCTAGTTCCATAAATAGCAGGCTACGTTATATTGCTACAGCACAAATCTTAGTTATATGCACACAAAAGAGGGACTGAAAATAACGATGTAAACACCTCATCTGGGCATGCTTACTATCATAAGATTAACTACAGTTATAATAGCCTGACTTGAAAACAGTACCCTATCCTGGTGAATAGAGGAGCTGGCAATATAGGTAGCAGAGCAAAATGAAGAATCATAGGTACGGTCTCATCTTTGTTACTTCAGTGTTCTGTGGCTCATAATCACTCTGCAAAGAGGGATAATAATGCTTAGAAGGGTTTGAGAGGTACATGCAATACATGCTAATTATTATCAGTGTAGTTTTCAGGCAAACTCAGAAACAAGATCAAATCCAAAGGAACCCACTGTGTTCACCACTCATGCCTGGTTATATCTGGGAACAGCCAGAAGTCCTTGCACAGTTGCTTCCAGATTTACCAGCCACATTTACCCTACATTGCAATTTGCAAAATGATATATAACATTACATATATATGTGTGTGTGTATACACCCACACACATATGTGTGTGTGTGTGTATATGTATTTGTATATGTGTATTTGTCTATATATCTTGTTGAACACTAAGATTGCTTTTTATGAATGACCATAACACACTTGGATTCAGTATCTCTGGGGAGCAGTACAAGTCAAAATATCCACCCCTGTTGTGCTCATATCAAAATAGGAAACTACGTAAAACTGAGGTAACTTGTAAAAAATAAGCAAGAAGTGGCACCTGAGACAATTAAATCCTCAGAGGAGGCATGAAAACTACAGGACATCAAAACAGAAAGCACATTCCCAGTGTATGCTGCTTACTGGCCATGCTTGAAAGAGAGTAAACAGGAGTGGTCATGGCCAAACAGCAAAGCAAACAGAGGCTATTAGAAAGAAGAAGGTGACCTTCCAAAAGCTAAAGAGGCATCCAAATAAAGAAAACTGAAAGGATGATAAACACTGACAGTTTTACTGTGAAAAATATTAGGCAGAACAAAAAGAGTTTGAGGCCTAACTAGCTAAGAGAATCAAAAATAGTTTGTCATCCTTCTTCCAGTGCATCAGGAAGAAAAAGAAACGTCAGCGAATCTGAGTGTGATAAGGGTATAAAATGAACTCTCAAGGAGGACAAAGTTACTGAGAGAAGCTGAACTGTTTGCATCTTTGTTCACTGTAGAAGAAATTCAGGAAATTCTCCTGCGTTCTCCAGGGAACTCAACAGAGAATTGATCTGAAACTGAAGTATCTGTGGAAGAGGTAATGATGCAAAAACCAGATGAATACAGACAAATCTCCAGGATCTGAAGGATTCACCCAAGAATTCTAAGAGAACTCAAGGGTAAAATATCTACTAATAGCAGCATGTAACCTGTCACTTCAATATTCCTTACTGGATGAAAATCAGAAGGTGTCAAATGTGAAGTCAGTCATTAAAAAAAGTTCCAGAGATATCCAGAAAACTAAAACCTGACATCTGTTCCAGGTGAATGAGTAGATATTGTAATAAGGGATAGAATTAGTATCTACCTGAATAAATATGATCTTATCCAGAAGAGTTAACAAAGCTCTTGGGGTTCTTTGAAGGAGTTGGTGATATGTAGATCATCTTACTGATGCAGTCAACTTGGATTTCCAAAAGACTTTTGACAAAACTTGTTGAAGTCTTTTAGGAAAGCTATGCAACTGTGGCATAAGAAGGAAGGTCCTGAAATGGATGAGAATATGGTTTAAAAGATGAGAAACGTGGTAGAAGTAAATAGTCACGTCTTGCAAAGAAGGGAGGTCACCAGTGAAGTGTCTATCCTGGGACCTGTACCATTCAACATATTCTTAAATGACCTGGAGAAGAGCAGTGTTTAAATTGACAAAGCTTTGCTGATGATAGGAGGTTTTGCAAAGTAGCAAGGACAAGGGCACACTGCATAGGTTGCAGGAAGATTTTAGAAGACTGACTGGCAATAACATGGCACGTGCAATTCCGTGTAGATAAATGTTAAGTGATACAGTTGGGGAAGAATAGTTAACCCTGTCTTCACATCTTAGATCAGCTCTAAGCTGACCTAAAGGTCTTCAGGAACAAGATCTTTGGGTTATGGTAGATGGTTCCATGAAACTAGCTGTAGCTGAAGAAGCAAATCATAGGTTAGGAATTATTGGGAAGCAAATGGAGAACAAAACAGAAAAGGTCATTACGTTATGGTACAAGTCCATGTGCTACTGTAAAAATCCAAGGTTTGCACACTTGAATACTGTGTGCAGTTCTAGTCCCCTTATCTCATAAAGGACAAAGAAGAAGTCTACAAAATTAAGATGCATGGAGAGAGGTGGAATGGGTTTGGCTTTTCACTGTCTCTTCCACTACAAGAATGAGGGATGTCAAAAGAAGCTGGCAAGAGCTTCATTCAGAACAAAGCAAAGGAACTGGTTCTTTACGCAACCTTGTAGTCTTTCTAGATCAATTTGTTTATTGAGATGCAAGGAGAAATTGGACAAAACCTTGGAAGACATGCTGTCGGGGCTACTAACTAGATAAGGGACATATCCTAGCCTGAAAATGATTGAAGGCTGGGAGGCAGTATGAGGATGGAGGTATCATATGTGCTTACCCTGTTTTTATTCTTTCCTGGGTGTCCACCGTCATGGCTACAGTGGGAGACAGAACACTAGGCTAGATGGACCCTTGGGTCTCAACCAGCATGTATGCTCTTATGTGACCTTCTTATTATAGACTAAAGTCAGCATTAAACAAATGAAGTTATTAACGGCTTAAAAATATATTTATAACTTTCAAGCTCCCTAAATAATCATAATGTTGTGAAAAATTATGGCTGGAAGGGACCTTAGAAGTCTCCTAATCCATCCCCTTTTTCCATGACAGAATCGATTCTACCTGTGTCCTTACTGACAAATTCGTTTCATCTGTTCCTAAAGCTTTCAGTGATGGAGTCTCAACAGCATCCGTAAGCGATCTATTTAAAGTCTCACTATTCACACTATGAGAAGGATTTTTTTTTCCCTGTCTTACTGGAATCTAATCAGCTGTTGTTTGTTGTAAGCCATTAGTTAACTGCAAGCGTGAGCTAAGATGGGAGGTGTCCTAGACTTCCGATGAATGTTGTCTAGTGACTTTAGTGACTCTGGAAATAGCCTGAAAGCAGGTTTGATTTTTAATGTAGCTAGTTGTTGCTGGTTTATTGTGTTTTGGTTAATCTGACCAAGCATGAAAGGGGATCATTTCTGTATCCTTCTAGGGATTTTCATGTTATTTTGATGTCTTATCTCTTTAGCATTTTCTGGCTTCAGGGAAACTTTCCCTGAGCACTGCTTTCTAAACCCAGCATGTTTTGACTTTGCTTTAGCAAAGGGTATTTGAAAGGTGTGCCTACTGAAAGAGTGAGACCAAAAGATTTCTATTAAGAGATTACTGAAAATCAGCATGTAATATTGCTTTTTTTCCTGTAAGATCTGTTTTCTGGTTTTGCCTATATATTGACTGAACTATATGCATTTGAGCTGAAATATTTGAACTGTCTGATATGATGCTACTCAGTTCACATAAACTCTGCTTCTTGCAGATAATCACTAATTGTGTACCTCATTTTGTAGATGCCTGGCTTGAGAAGGGGGTTCTGACTAACAGAAACGCTGAGTACCTACAGATGCAACTGAAGTTGTTGTGGGCTGCTCTTACAGCATGCAATGTGCTTGGAGCTGGTAAAGGCTTTTAAAAAATCAGCATAAAAAAATGAGGCATTTTTAGCAGAAACTTTTAAGCTTAATTTCCTTGTCTCAATTTCCAATCTCTAACATTTCCAGTCTCTAACAAGTCCAATAGCACTGTCCTCTCACAGTAGATTGTGAAAATCAGTTTATTGGTACGTGTGAAGCACTCGGGAGTGGTAGTAATGGTCATTCTGAGGAAATGAATGTCTATGAGCAGGAATTCGAATTAGTAAATAGACGTAGGGTCATATATGGAACAATAAGGAAAAAATATATTAAGAAGATGTTCACTAGTGAACACTGTCAATCCTGTGACCAGAATGAAGCAAACATCCTGTGGAAAAAGAGCGAGTAAGGGTGTATTTGAAGACTTGAAATACAGTGCATTGTGCAAGGAAGCCAAATAAAGATTGCACAAGTGCTTTGATTTTTGGCATTTTAAATCTCATTGATGTCCTGACTTGGCAACCTCAGCAATGTACTTTCAATATATTTTTTTGTGTATGTTATATATATATTATATATATTTTTTTTGTGGATCGTAAACTATAGCAGTCAATGAAACAATGATGTTCCCAGTACATTGACATGGGGAAGAAAATACAGTACTTCTCTTTCTTGAAGCCTGGACATATATGCATCTTCCAGAGAATTACCACTGTGGAAAATGGCTCTCTATTTCTGTTTGCCTGTAATTTAAGGACTTACAAAAACTTCCTTATTTGAATCTTAAAGTTGATCAGCTATGCCAAGGACCACAGAGCAATCATCGTTCTCCCGCGTGAAGAAGGATGAACAATAGTTTTCAACAGATTCAGTCTCTCCTGGCTTAGAACACTCCAAGGGATCGTGTTCATTCTGAAATTCTTGTAAACAGCTGACATTTGGAAGCCATTGCCTCCAAGGAAAGTAAAACTAATTTTCTCCCAGCCACTTCCTCACCACCCAAGTTGGCATTCTTTTTCATTGAAGAGGAATTTTTTTGTTTGTTGCCATGTTAGCTTGAGCTAAACAGAAATGGGCAATCTCTACTGAGAAGCAGTCGGCTACTCAGTGTGAGGAAGGCTAAAGAGGTTTGAGTTTCTCCATGTGTATTTCTAGTGTAAGCTACAGGAAACGCCTAGAAACATCTCTCTGGGATTTTTCCTAGTGTCCTTTCTTCTCTCTGTTTCTCTCTCCCCTCCTCCATTGCAGCTCAGTTCTTCTCCTGAGGTCAGTGTGACAGATCAAAGGCTTAGATGGGGCATGTGCCTGAGCGATGATTTTCCTTCCCTGCTTCTAGCTCTCACCGTGGATATCTTCTGCAGCTGTTAGCTCCAGAACCAGTCTCAACATACAGCAAGATACACTGTGGTGGATCAGAACTAACTATCCTAATGCTGCTTCCTAAACTCGGCTGTGTTTCAATAACATTTCTCTGACAGGATAGTGAGTGGATAACAATGCTAATTTGTATAAGCGTCTGCCATTTTAACCATTGTTTCACATTTCTGCAGAGATTGTATGTAGGTAGCTGCCATGAGGCTGGGAGGAGGAATAGATGCAGAAGGGATGAACTGTACCTTAAAATCCTGTATATACATACAGTCTTATAGCATAACAACCTATGTAGTTTAAGGTGAATAAGAGCTTATGGGCCACCCACTGTACAAAAAAAATGAACAAGCAGAACTTGACACTTGGTGTTTCTATTCATATCACATGTTAAGCACAGACCTATAGTTTGTTCCTTATGGGACATAAATATTACCTACCCTGGGTATGAACTGAAAAGAAATTGCTCTAGAAATTGCGTTACAGGGTTGAGATTAAAATTATCTCTTGTATTTTGCATGAAGCTTTATGCTAAGCCTTCAGGTACTAAATTACTGGGTTTTATTAAAAAGAAAATCTTCTTGTTAAGCTCTACCTTTTCAAAGATTTTAGAAGGTCTGTTAGTATTGATTAGCTTGTGGACTTAGGGAAGTTTACAGTCTGGAACCTCCTGCAGAGATCTCTACTCTTCCATGCCAAAGTTTAGCTATGATGGGTCTTTTTTCCTCTGGCTAGAGAAGGTATCTGAAGATGTCCAAAATATAACATAGCACCCTGTGGTTGCTGTCTTTGCATTAGAAACTTTAAAAAACAATATTTAATAATCAAAAGTTTTTGCAACTAATCAGCGTTATCTAATGCCTTATAAAATAATGCACCGTAACAGCAGTTACTATTTACTTTGTATTTTATATTAGGAAAATTTTTGTCTGTGTACTGCTATCTGAGGCCAGTACGGAAGAGAAAAAGCAAAGAGAAAGCTACATGAGGTAAGTGATAAAAAAAAAAAAACACTACTCAAAACACCCTCAAATTTAGCTACATTTTCAGCTCGAGATCCTAGTCTTAAAAAAGTTATCTTTTTTAAACTTCATGTTAGCTATATTAAATAATTGTTTTACTCTGTGCTATTAACTGTTTTCTTTACTTGTTTATATTTTTGCTTTTTCTTCCTCAGCTCCTGGAAACTTACTTGAGTATATGAATTTGTTTATATAGCTTGTGATAACCTACATGTAATGAATCACAAAACAAGTTCCTTTGTGAAATTTTGCATGCAATTTTATGATCATATAATCATGTGTTATGTACAATTATGCAATCTCATAGTAGTTTCTCTGACTAGGGCTATGTTACGCAAGCATAGTTCGTACCATAAAGGGTCAAATACCAAAATCCTTGGGGAACAAATAATCTTTTGGAGGGCCAACTTTTAGAAACAGTGAATTTTTCTTCTAGTAGGCTTTCCTTCTGGGAGTTATACATGATATAAAGCAGAACAAAATTCAAATAAGAGACTTACTTTGAGCAAAACATGATGTTTAAACAGAAATATGTATTTTTTCGCAGTTGTATTGTTATATTCTCATTGTAACTTATCTGTAATCAGAACAGGAGAGAGTGAGCACACATTTCCCTTTATTTTTTCCCCTTATTTTTTTAGCCCTTATGCAGCTGAGTACTTAGGCATGTGTCTCGATCCATGTCCCACTATAGTACCTTGCTGATTTGTTGTTTTCAGTGTTGTTCACCGCTATAAAGATTCTGTAAAGATTCTGACTTCCATTCTCCACGTTCTTCCACTTGAAGTGCATAGACTGGCAAGCACATAGTTCTGAGGGTATTTTTGTTTTGTTTGTATTTACACATAGCAATCACTATTTCCTACAATTGGTCTTAAAGCTCTGACTTTTGCAATTTTAATTAGCTTGCTTTCTTGCTTTCTTACCCTTCCCTCCCTCCATTGTTTTGTTCTTCAATTACTTTTCAGCCTTGATGACTTTTTCTATAACTATTTAGAGCAACTTCTTTTGCTCTAGACTTGGTTCATCACTCCAAGAATTCTTACAGCTCTGAATGTTTTGAAGGCTGTAGCTCATTGCCACCCCAGTTGTCATGAGAATGTTAGCCACACTGCCATACTGTAGTTGCATTTCACACCTTTTTGTTTGTTTTTTTCAATCAATTCTCAACTGTATGTCTTTACTTGCTCTCTTGTTGACATTATCATTCTTTTTTGACTACAGATGGGGGCATGCGCTTAAGCAGCTTTTAGTAGTAACTGATGTGCATCTGATTTGCTCAGTTACACAGCACAGTGGAGAAGTTTCTGCAGAAATCTTTTGAAACCCGTTTAGTTGTATGAGAAAGCTGTGTTTTCCAGACCCAAAATGTGTCTGTTAGCTGGTTTTCAAAGTTATATTCAGTATGCACACTGACTTTTTGATGCTAGGTTAGCCTTCCAGCAGAAGACTGCGTCACTACGTCATCCATCAATTTAGCCGTAAACCATATAATTATAGTAGGAGCCTTCAGAAAGGTTTCTACCCAGGCAGCCCTCTGAAGGTTCATCGGTTGCCTCATCTGGTTTGAAACTTATTACCACAACAGTTGCGGTTGCCAACCTGACTGGCAGCACCAGGAAGTAAACTGTGCTCTCTAGTACAAGAGAATTTGTGTTTGTCCCCATTATGATATTTTGAATGTTGCCCATCTACTGGATAAGCCTAGGTCAGCTGACAAAAAGGAAGTGGTGTCAATATGCTGCTCTATAAAGACACATTTTTTGTGTTATTTATGGAGCTCCTCCCACTAATATGACTAGCTAGATTATCTGTAAGCCTGTACTTGTTCTGAAGCCACTATTGATTAAATGCTGAGATGAGTTATTTTTTTAGAAGCTGTCACTGGAACATGCTTAGGCTGCACTTGCTGTCAGCTTAACAGTCATGTTTCTGTGTCTTCCTCTAAATTCCTCACCCAGCTGGGCTCTTTCATATCTTAGCATTAAAATAGATTCTTCCTAATTAGACAGATCTCTGTCATGATAATCATCTTGAGAACGTATGCTGTATTTTCATACTGCGTATCTTTTCAGAGATTAGGCCTGTACTTCATGATTTTTCAAAGTCGTAACTCACTGAATAGATCCTTTACCAAGCAATCATCTCCTGTAACTAGTAATTAGTGTCCTGTCAGCTGATATCAGTAGGCATTAGTGTTCAACTGCTGACATCAGCAAGTTCGTCTTGTATCACTTAGAATATATATTTCTTTCAAAATTCCTGTTATGAAGATAGCTTTCTAAGCTGATGCTCAGGGAAGAAAAACAAACAAACATAGAACAAATGTACACATGTGTGCATGCAAGGTAAATTGCTACACAAAAAGGTGAATGTGCGCAAGTCCGTGGTCACAGATATAAGAGCACCCATCTATCACAAGTGAGTCTGTGCTTCTATCTGATTAAAGAACAGAGTTGCGTGGTCAAGGTTGCGACGAACATCTGTTTTAATGACTCAAGTCAGTAACAGAGTGATGCTGGGATCTCTCTATTTCTCGCATTGTCCAGGCTACAATCTGAGGTCTTTTGTCAGTTTTTGTATGTTCAGACTCACTGGCTTAGCAGAAATGTTTTTGTTAACAAAAATTGAATTTAAATAGCTCCCTAAATAGTAGATTTTGGCCCTAGCTGGTAATTGCTC